CCTAACTACATGCTTTTGGACTGTGGATGGAAAGTGAAGTACCTGGAGAAAGCCTAAGTGAAGACAGGAACATGCAAACTCCACACACACAATAACACACCCACGCACACACACAACCACGGGCAGGAGTTAAATCTCCAACCCAGGAGATGTCAGCCTGCAGTACAACCCACAGAGCCACCATCTCTTCCCATATATAAACTTTCCAAGGAAACAAATAACTATAATATATAGTGGAAGTTAAATGTAACATAAAAATAGTGTTCCCTTTGGAAAATATGACATACGTTAAAAACCTCCTGAAATGTTCTGCCCTTTTTCACCGAAGATCCTGTTTAATATTGGAAAATTTCAAAGTCAAGTGGAATGTCTCCCGCATGCAGGAACAAATTCAAAGAGAAGCAGGAGTCATTTCTCATGTTGCAGGGCCTCCTTGTGTGACGTTTGATTGAGCGTCCAATGGCCTTTAATCACGATCCTCAGTCTGCGGGATCTTTGATGGGAGGCGACAGTACTAGAATGTTCCTTTACATCCAGGCCGCTGTTAAAAGAGCCTTGCTTTGAAGTCAATGCTGGTAGAATCGTGCTGAATCTAGGCTGACTTCTGATTTCTATATGTTTGTGGTGCAATATTTAGTTATGATTATTCTTCCATTCATCCATCCATCCATTCATCCATCCATTTTCCTTTCCAGCTCATCCAGTTATTATCATCCATTTATCCATATTCTGCCCACAAGGATTTCCTGTTTACCTGGATAACTTGCCAGATTTAAGGCAGTCTGGGCTGAATAATTGAACAAACATAGTTCATTTTTACTGGGTTACCTTAAATCTGACAAGTTATCCGGCTCTGCAAGAAATCCGGCTTCATGATACAGGCTGAAACATGGAACATCTTTTGTATATTTATTGCCAAGAACCATAATAACAAGTCAAAATGAGCAGCCCCTGCTTTCCAAATGTAATGCATATATACAAAAAATGTATATTCTGTGGTTCGACACTGGACAGGAAAACTTTGCCTTTCTTTTTGCTTTTCCCTGAAAAGATGTCCAGAGGCCCTTCACATTTAGAATTGTTAATATTTATGGATTTCCACAACATGTTTCATGCAATTCACTAGAAGAAAGGTGAAAGGAGGAGGCTGCTGTGAACTGAATGCTAATGATTAAACCGTAGGAAACTCGCCGAGGCCATTGGAACCTGGGGGAAAATTGAGATGTCGGATGAAAATAAGCCATCACTGTGTTGCAAAGGGGATTCACCTTGACTTTTTTTAATTAAAAAAATGCTAATTGTGCAATGTTTTAGATGCACAAAATAAACAACTCTTCAAAATAAAAAAAAATCTACATGCAAAAATGAGTGTTTTTCTAATTTTGATGTAAAATATACACTTTCATTCGATTCATTGTGTACTTTATGACATGAAACAAATCAAAGTTGGTTTTTATGCCTGGCTTCAAATGAGCCAAACACTATATTTATAAAAAATAAATAAAATCTTCAAAAGGAAAATCGAAACACAGGTGTCTGCATAATGATAGTCTCTGTGAACTTTGAAAAATATTGTGAATTTTGTGGTCTTTACGAATTTTTAGTTGAATGACTCTACTGAAAATAGCACAAGCAAGTTTATGTTTAATTTTAAAACCGGGCTTAAAGGAACCAAATCAGTGGCGTACATCAGTGTGCAAATCCATCCATCTTCAACAACTGCTTATCCAGTAAATTTACAGTCAACTTTGAGCCGATTCCAGAAAACACCGAACGAGAGGCAGGGGGCACACCGCACATGCCTAGGGCCCCCGTGAAATGATTATTCGTTTTCTTGGTATGGGGGACCTCCCAAGTAAAGCCTTGCCCAAGGCCCCTGACAAGGTAGAGTCCACCCTGGAACAAACTGCAGAAATCAAACCCACAGCCTTGGATGTTTCACGTAGGTAGAACTGTTTTGATAAATCATTGTGAAGCACTTTCCAGACAAGGGGACAATGTCAATCTCCAGGAGGAAAGTGTAATCTTTATTTTATTTCTTCCTCTTGGAGTGGCACATACAGCTTTGCGAGCGGAGTGGAGTTGATGTTAGTGTAGCAGTAAGGGGTCATGAGTTGCACAGAGCAGCTTACAGAATCTCCTGCACTGGGTATATTAATCATGTCTCTGTGTAAACTGAAGGATAATGGGAAGTGTTTTGCCTTTCTTCTGGGCTTGGACTTTATTGGGCATGGACAACCAAAATGATTTCATAATGGATCCATTAGCCATGAGATTGAAGTGCTCTCGCTAATGACCAATACACACACGCACACACATGCACGCACACACAGACACAAGTGTTATTTTGTTATTTTTACATTATTTTGACTTTTTTCAGTCCCCACAAGGGGAAATTAAATTTTATGATCGAAAAAAATCTGTGACTGCAGTTAAAAAATTAAAAATGCCAATAGACTTCTTTTTTTGTTTGGTTACTGCAGTTAAAAAATTAAAAATGCCAATAGACTTCTTTTTTTGTTTGGTTACTTATGGCTACGGTTAGGGCTGGTTAGGGGTTAAGGTTGTCATTTTGGGATTACAGTTTTTCCCATGGAAATAAAGGATGCTACTCACAAAAACATGAATATAAGCGTGTGTGTGTTTAATTTGGTACTAATATTGCATGTTGTCTATCAAGCTTCCATTCACACTTATCCAGTACATGGTTGTGGTGAACCTAGACCCACCTCCCAGGATACACAAGGCATAGGGCAGGGGGGGGGGGCTCTTCACCAATGTACACAAACCCAAACTATGGGCAATTTAGAGTCGACAGTTCACCTAACCGCGTCATTTTGGTCTTTGCGAAGAAAACCATGCAATCACAGGAAGAACTTGTTGGAATCGGCTTGAATTGAACCCACAACCCTGGAAGTGTGAGACTAGCTACTGTGTCACCTTTAATACTAAATATAGAGTATCCTATAGGCAGTAACTGAGCCTACTACAGTAAATATTGAGTATCCTATAGGCAGTAACTAACCCTATGAGTGCATGTTTATACACTGAGAATTCGGGGGGGTGTTAGCGAGTGCAAGCTGGACAGGCCTGGCTGAGAAATCCGGGTCAGCTGCTTTATTTGTCAGACCCCTTTGTCCCTCATGACTTTCTCATGGACTCCTCTTACTGTATGTTTTTGACCTGCACATTACAGTACATACACATTTAAGACATTCATCCCTGTTTTCTCTTGTTCAAATACATTACAGTCATAGCCGAAAACTACTCTCTAGATAACCTCTTCTGAGTACAAAATGTACTCTGCATTTACTAGTGAAATATTATTAATCTTCTTCTTATTATTATTATGTGTCCAAATTCTGTTTAACATTCGTCAGAAACCATGCTCGGCACTGGTCCAATCAGCCTTTTGTCAAAGTCACTTTGTGTTTTGCAATATGGAAATCAGAAATTAGACTACAATGAGGTAATAACTTCCTCTATTGTGTCGTATGAAGTGGAAATAAAACATTGTTTACTTAACCAAGCAGTAGTTTAACTGCACAGATTATTGGCAGAAGACTGCGATGCGCACCAAACAAAACTCCGATTTGACAGTTGAAACAAATTTAAATTAGATTTGGATGGATGGATGGATGGATGGATGGATGGATGGATGCATAGATGGATGGATGATGCATAGATGGATGGATCAAATAAATAAATAAACAGCAACAAAATAACAGCAAAACTGAACTTCAGACGAGAAGTGACATGCCGGAAGCTCTCAACACACTTTTGGACTGGAAAGACATAAATCATTTTCTGAAAAACTATGACACCCTGCTGAGTAACATATCCAGCACAATACCTCATGGATGACTTTTGTAAACCAGTAGTACATGACAAATGGTATGTGTGTGTAAATGCAGTATATATGACAGTTTGCGTTCCTGTTATTTAATTCTGTAGTGAATGTTATGGATGAGAGGACGGAGTCAGAAGGTACAATTGTCGTTTCTATAGGTGAACTTTATTAACAAATGGGGCGGTTCGGAAACACTATCACAATAACAACCATTGCTGCTTCTTTCACACAGAGTGAAAGTGAGTATTGTAACAACTAACATTCCCCTTTGTGCAGAACCAGCAGCCAACCTTGCGAAGCTGAACATGTGTCTAGACCAGGAGTTTTCAATCTTCCGTAAACCTTGAAAGTAGACTAAAGGTACCCCCCCCCCAGCACTAATGCAAAGTCACATGAGTAATAAAGAACTAAGGATTAGGTGGGGAGTCTTATAATTTCTTTTTTGGATATTTTTTCACAGTGAACTTCAATAATTTTCACATTGCATATGAGAAATACTAATATTGGCACTACACTACGTCTGATCTATTATATTACCCATGTGAGAAGTGTCAAACTCCGCTGCTGGTGATTTGTGAAATCTGCACTGTCATCTTGTAACATCCTGCCTTTTCAACTTAAGTGCTAATCAGCAAAAAACAGCAAAAAATAAAATAAAATAATAAAGTGATAGCCAGTAGCTTTTGATGGTTTCTGCTGTACAACATATTCATGAAATAGCTACTTGAGTACTGTGCTTTGGGAGAAATGGATTAATGTTGATTTTGCGGTAATGCGACCAATTAATCTGCATGAAAAGCAGCAGATAGGAGTTCTGCCGGAAAAAGCTTATGATCTAAACCTTGCGCTTTTTGCTTCTGAAAGCAGACAGCGCCAGACAAGGGGTTCATGTGTAATAATGCCCAGAGAGGAAATTCATTTCATGTTTAAGGAAAGGACTAAAGGTTAACTGCTGCAGGACAACATGCACATGATGTAACTCCTGCAGCATCGGGAACATCTGCTTTCAGAAATGACTTTATTTCTCCTGATTTAAAAATGAATACAGTTCAGCTTTCATTTTGTACTACACTGGTCAGTATGTCCAATTCTTTATTTCCTTTAAAAAATCAGAATCCAACCAGAGATTTCCTTTGCTACTCCCCGGCAGGGTCAGGACTGCACGATGGACAATGGCATGATGTTAGCTTCCTGGCCAAGGAGAACTTTGCCATGTTGACAATTGACGGTGACGAGGCTTCAGCGGTGAGGACCAACACCGCCATTCAGATCAAGACCGGAGGCTCCTACTACTTTGGAGGTACCTAAGTACTGTTTCTCTGTACTGCGCCTGATTCCTTCCAAATGTTCACAATGAAGAGTCATGTGTTATTTCTTTCGGTAAATAGTATTTTCTTATTGGTCCAGAGATGCCACTTGGGTGTTAATTATTTTCATGTTACTGCACAGGTAGCTGTGACAGTCTACTAACAATTCTTCATTAAAGCATTTTAGTGTTTTATTAAACGTCATTATATAAAGGCCTGTGTGACATTTTACTCATTAGTAAGCAATCTTTCTTGTCAGCATAATTTTCCTTGGTGTTCAAAACATAAGAGCCTGTTTGTTGATGGTTTCCATGGTAACTTATTGGACTTGCCGTTTTCAGTGAATATCCTGACTAGACGTTCTATCCTTATAGGGACTATATTTATAAGAGCACATTGGAATTGTGGGTGGAGTGGTGTCACTGAGGCTAGGGATCTGTGCCAGCAGCTGGAAGGTTGCTGGTTCAAATCCCATGAATGCCCGGAGTGATTCTACTGCGTTGGGCCCTTGAGCAAGGCCCTTAACCTGCAATTGCTCTGTTCTGGGTATGATGTTATTCTACGTCCAGCCCTATAAGGAGGTCCTCCAACTTATAGGGAATAAGTTGGGGGTTGGTGGCAGGATTGGAACTCCAGCCACCGGGAAAAACTCGCATTGGTCCATTCGGACTAGTGTGGTGCTGAGGTATCACCCACCGCATGGCTGCACTCAGGTTCTCATCCCTCCGGTGGTTTGTCGTGTGGTACTGTAGGTGCGGCGACGCACTGTAATCAGTGCATGCGCCTAACCCCCTCACATTGGAATATTATTGAATACCAACTCAAATCATTTTCTTCTGAAAGAAAGTGGGCAGGGCATTAGTTTACTATAAATTTTTTGTTGGTTTGCCATGGTATAAGTGGGACAAACCACTTTGAGGCGTGTAGTTAGTTTCATATTACTGCACATCTCATTCTTTTTTCTCTTAATCTCTGCATATTTGCTCATATATACAATTATATACAATACCAGGCAAAAGCGTCTCAGGTAGTCAGAGAAAAATAGTCTAGCTTCATGTAGATGTAAAATGATAATATGTCTGTCAAAGTGTGTGACCTTGGCCATTTCCAACCGTCACCTAAAATCACCTTGGTCTTTACAGCAGCCATCCTACTGTATATACCCCTATATTTTTTTGACTCAACCACTAGCACACCTCATATGGCCAATCAGTACCTCATTAGCTTACTTAATGAAGTTAATTAATTAACTGAGTCAGTGTGAAATTTAACAAATATATGTAATGGCTGAGGTCCCCCTGAGGAGAGGTTTGGGGACTGAAGTGATGTTCTTCTAGCCGTCCAACAAGATATCAGTAACTTTTTGGGGAAAAGAAGAAATTCTTGTTGTGTTTTAATGTTATGCTGTTCATTTGCATATATTCTAGTGTTAAATTGTGGGGTTTTTTTCTGAGCAGATGTACAAAATGGTGTTAAGCTTTTTCCTCAGCCACGACTTTTGCACAGTACTGTATGTTCATTTCCTTACGATTTGGGGGGATAATGTAAACTAGTATCTCTGTAGGGATGCTGTGAGCTTTGTTTATATGCTGCAGAATGATGTGTGGGAAAGGCTGGACGTCAATGAGAAGCACATGGCACAGGGATGGGAAGGTGGTACTGGATTTATGTGGTGTACTGGGCTGGAGAGATAGGCAAGGATGGGTGTGACATGACAGAGCTGGAAAACAGGAGCGGGGAAAAGCAGAAGGGCCTTTTGACAACACAGGGACAGAAAAAAACTACCATTTCAACAACATGGGGAAAAAGATGATTCAGCTCGAGCAGCATGTGGGGGGGAATGGAAAAAACATAGATGTGGATGAAGGAATAGGTGGGATCAGTAACAAGAGAAAATGATTGACAAATGTGAATCGAAAAACAAAGAAGAGGTGGATTTAGCTCCACAGTCCTGCTTGCCTCCCCATCCGATACACACACCTCACATGTTCTCTGTTCAGTAAAACTTATTGCTGCTGTATTCAAAGGTGTTTTTAAATTAATTGAATTGAGTTTACACTGCATCTCCATCCCAGTTTTTCGGTGGAAGTTGAAATTCACAGTTATTATAGTTTATTAAAGGTGTTGATTCTCCATCATAACCTTTGCAACAGTTGAGTCTCGGGTGCCTCTCTTGCACTTTAGCTCACATTCTCATTCCAACAGTACAGGAGACTCAGCCATTTGTAACTACAAAAGCACCCTACGCGATACTTGCGGTATTCCCATAGTGAGACACACTGTCTGATATTTTACTGAACTCTCATAGGTTTAACTTGAGTATACACAAAAAACAGAGATGGTCTCGAACTCTTCAGGGGTTTTTTGCAGGCTGTTAACATCCGTCATCGATTTTCAGAAGTAAATATGACCATGCACAGCAGCCCTTCTAGATGCTTCTTGAAAATCAGCGGCATTAGCAGTGCCGTTGTTAAAAAGAAGATAAAAGATTCTACTCGTGACAGAATGAAAGGCCAGCTAAGGAGGCATTCATAATATACTTCAAGGTGTCTTCTAATAGACCGGCGCCGCTCGGCACAATCGGCCTTCCTGCCTGCTAATTCTGAGGGATAGCGTGGCTGATAGCTTTATCAGGCTCACTCATCTTCTAAACAGCTAGACAGGAGGAGAGAGCAGCCGGGCCTGCCGCCCATCCACGGCCGCAACAGCATGTTGGCAGCTGACACGCGGAAAATGAGATCAAAAAAAGGCTCCCTCGTCCATGATGGATGTGCTGTACAGAAACATAATTATCAATCAGTGGACTTCCATCACTCTTATATCCAGGTACAGGGGTCCTTGAAGGGCTGTCTAATTTGTTTACCTTCGCTTTCCGCCCCCTTTCAAATGTACTTTTACGGGCAGCAGTGAGTATCCGGTAAGGTGGCATTATTTGTCAGGATGATTCACCAGATTCAAAGCACATTAGTTATGACTCTCATGTTGAATTGCCCAGCGCTAACCTACATCTTACTCACAACGTTAATTTGATAAAATGTTACATGCACCTTTGGAGAAAGATCAGGCTATGAACAGCATTCCGGTTCCGAATTTGATTTATTACAAATGTTAGAAAAAAAAAATTGGTAGCCTTGCTATCCCTGCCAGGTGGAACCTGCATGATTAGCTTGGCATGATGAGAAGTTTGATCGGAGGCATGGGTGACTGCACATCTGATGTAATGATGTGAGCTAGTAATGATGTGGACCCCTGCCAGGCAAGTGCCAGAGATGGTCACAGAGGCAAGTGACAAATCACCTTTAAGGCCAAAGTATGTTGCTCTAGCGGCTAAAGGAACGGGGCTCGTTGCAGCCTTGACTGGTCTCAGTGATCTTCTGAGCTGCTGATCATCTTGATCTCATGAACATTGGTTCAGCTTAGGCCTAACTTTTGATCATACGTTTACAGTATAAAACCTTAAAGAATGCACATAAAGAATGCTCAGACTACAAACTGGATTCTTTTTATTTTGTTATTTTCAAGATGGGTGCAAAATTGTAATACAGCTTGATATTTCCTGATTAATGTTTCCTGTTACTATTTTATGACAGTAAAGTAATGATGAGAAATACTGCTAAGAATTCTTTGTATTTGTAATATATATATATATATATATATATATATATATATATATATATATATATATATATATAACATTAATCTATACAATGATAATAATGTAAGACAGTACTTGTGTCTGGCGTAGCGTAAGCCTTTGAAGATTAATGACTCCCTCTGTGTTTTTTCCGGCTCCTTTTCCAGAGAATCTGTGATGCTTGAGTAAACAGATCCTACCTCCATGTAACAGTCATTATTTTAATAATGTCACTCTGCCACCATCCATATGTTTATGAGATCTTGCACAGGTGAACAACTGTAATACTGTAAGAAGTGCCATGAAATAAGAATTTATTGAACGAATGTGTGTAGATGAAACTGCACTTTGTTAGCTGGTAATAAATTTTCATTGTTCATTGGATTCAGCAAAAGAATGTCTCATACAACAGAACACTCATTATTATTATTAATAATTTGGTTAATCTATGGGAAGTTTCAGTGTGACTTAGTCAATAGTAATAGCATGAGGCTAATAAGAGTGAACTACCGTTGATGTTCATGGGAGTTTTACTTACACAAATAATGTTCTGAGGGCAGAAGGAAGAATGATTGATCCTGAGCAATAACCAATCAGATTGTAGAGGAAGTAGGTCAAAGAAACTAGAGGAGGTGGGACCAAGAGATCTGATTGGTGGGTCCCACCTGATGTAGTTGATTGAATCCACTTCCTCTACAGTCTGATTTGTTATCGCTCTGAATCAATCATTCCTCCTTCTGCCCCCAGAACATTTTTTTGTGTAAGTAAAACTCCCACGAGTGTATTTGATTCAAAATGTGCAACAGATATGCAGGATTTAAATATACCAATCTCAAGAAAGAATATTTGTATTATTCTCAATTCCCCTGACCAAATATCTATATGCAGGTGTCCATCGTCTTGGAAATGAGGACGTCAAATATCTCGATAATTATTGGCAAGAGGTCAAATATTCTGTATAACATAAGATACAATATCACACACATTTAGCTAAACCTCGATAGTGACAGCCCAATTGGTTTGTTTTGGTTCTTGTTGCATACCACATATGTGGCAAAATATGTCCACTAAAGTCCATTATGTCTGCTTTGGAGGTCTGTCTGTGAATTTTATTAACACTCTTATGGATTGTAAATACAATTGGACGTCATTCGACAGGACATAAGTCAACGGATGACTGTAATTAGTATTGCTATTCCAAGACACTGATATAGACATGAGTCCTTGGAAAGAAAACACAGAGGTGGGGGATCACTGGAGTGTAAATAAAAGGAACATCGTCAGAAAAAAATGATGTTTAAAGAAAGCCTAGAAACTCTTTATGTGAGAAGGAAAAAAGCTCACATGTGCAAGTGGGGA